GATTGGTTGAATGTATCTTTTCTTCTAAATATTATATAATGAAAGAGCCCTTTACAGATAATGCCAATAAGATCAAGGCCTTCATTCTTTAAACAAATATTTATTGAGTGACTCTTGTGTGCCAAGAACTGTGCTAGGCATTGATTATACTGTAGTGAATAAGACAGTTCCTTCTTTCAAGGTTTCAAAGAATATGCCAAGCGGATTATTTCATTATAGAATGATTAATAGAAAACTCATTTTTTATATTTTTTATTTATTTTTTTATTTTTTGATAGACGGAGTGGACAGTGAGAGAGAGAGACAGAGAGAAAGGTCTTCCTTTGCCGTTGGTTCACCCTCCAATGGCCGCCACGGCCGGTGCACTGCGGCCGGCCAGCGCACTGCGCTGATCCGAAGGCAGGAGCCAGGTACTTCTCCTGGTCTCCCATGGGGTGCAGGGCCCAAGCACTAGGGCCATCCTCCACTGCACTCCCTGGCCACAGCAGAGAGCTGGCCTGGAAGAGGAGCAACTGGGACAGAATCCGGCGCCCCGACCGGGACTAGAACCCGGTGTGCCGGTGCCGCAAGGCGGAGGATTAGCCTAGTGAGCCGCAGCGCTGGCAGAAAACTCATAACAGTGGCATCCAGCAGAGTCTGGGGGAAGGGGAGGGGTGAAGCCAGGAGAAACTTCTAGAGATATGTTAGTTGAGAACCAAGGGATCAAAAACACACGCAAGGTTGGAGGTGAGACAGAGTAGGGCATTCCAGGGAGGAGAGAGTATTATCCAAAATACAGAGGGAGGTATGCATGTGGCACATTGCTAAACAAGAAGTTTTAGATGGTGGAAAATAGAGTCTAATGGGGTGATAAGAGAGGGACACAAGGGTCAGATTAGGAAAGTTTTTCCAAACATGAAGATATTTGGACTTTGTGAATTTGTAATATAGTGTAGACCCTAGATTGAAGTGGGTTGTTTAGAGACAAGACCAGTGAATGGTCCAGGAGGTGACAGTGGCATGAGCAAAGCTGTAGGGAGGAGCTTGGAGAAGAAGAGAAGTGAGTGACCTTCTGAAGTGTAGAGGGGTGGGTGTTGGGCAGCAATGGGCTGCAGCCTTGGACACCCAGTCCCATATTGCAGTGCCTGGGTTGGAGTCCCTGCTTTACATCTGATTCAGCTTCCTGGGGATGTGCACTCTGGGAGGCAGTGGGTGATGGCTCAAGTGCTTGTGTCCCTACCACGCATGTGGTGTTCAGGCTCCTGGCTTCAGTCCTTCAGTCTGGTGCAATGCCAGCTGCCCTGGGCATTCGGGGAGAGGACCAGTGGATCAAAGATTGATTCTCTCTCTCTCTCTCTCTCTCTCTCTCTCTCTCTCTCTCTCTATCATTCTGCTTTTCAAAAATAAAAAAGGGCATGTTGACCAGGTAAAATCAACACTTGCTTGTGAATGGTTGGTGGAAGGAGTAAAAGACAAAGTCCAAGTTTTTGAGTTGGCAACAGGTTGAAAGGCAGGGAAGAGACCCAAGAGGGGTGAAGATGTTTGGAATGGCCTGGGGTAGAGAAGGGGAAAGTCATGGTAGTGTTTATATATTGAGCCTGAGAGTCTTATGAGATGTCCAGGATAATCAAATCAGTGATTGGATGTACGGGTCTGGAGCTCAGAGAAGTCTGGGCCGGAGGTGTACATTTGTAAGTCATCCACATATAGGTGGTGGGCCTGGATGAGTCTAGAAAGAAAGCACACAGTGAGAAAGGAACTTGCAATAGCTATGGAGAGCAGACTATTCTACAAAAAGCTGAGTGGTCAGAGAAGCAGGAGGAAAACCAGCACACAGTGTTTCAAGGAGGAAGTGGTCAATAAAGAGGGTTGTTGCTGAGAGTTGATGTGAAACGACAGCTGAAAAATGTCTGCTGCAGTGAGCGAGCAGCCTGGTGTTTAACTCTGTCGTTAGCTAGAGCTGGCTAAGCGGAGAGCCGGAGCTGACATCCGGAGTGGAGTGCTACTGCGAATTTGCTAGTGGAATTTGGATAACTCTTTAGAGCTTTCTGGCTGTGAAGGTGAGGAGAGAGGTCAGTTGAGGCAGAGTATGAGAATGAGGGAGAGTTGTTTTCAGGAAGTGAGAGAATTGAATATGTTAAAAAGTTGAAGTGAAGGATTTAGTTGATGAGAAGTTGATTTAGAAGAGAGGGAGTGAGGGGCCGCATGGTGGCATAGTAGGTTAAGCATCAGCCCGTGGAGCCGACATTCCATATAGGTGTTGTTGGTTCAGGGCCTGGCTGCTCTATGTCCAATCCTGCTCCCAGCTTATGCACCTGGGAAAGCAGTGGAAGATGGCCCAAGTGCTTGTGCCCCTGCCCCCATATGGGAGACCGGAAGAAGCACTGGCTCCTGGCTTCATTCTGGCCCAGCTCTGGCCATTGTAGCCATTTGGGGAGTGAACCAGCAGATAAAAGACCTCTCTCTCTCTCTCTCTCTCTCTCTCTCTCTCCCCCTCCCTCCCTCCCTCCCTCCCTCCTTCCCTCCCTCCTTCCCTCCCTTTGCAGCTCTGTAACTCTGCCTCTCAAATAAATAACTCTTAAAAAAAGAAAGGAAGAGCAGGAATGAATAATAAAAATGGACAGTTCTTGAGAAAGTGGAAGGGGATGGGATGCAAAGCTGTGGTGGAGGGGCTGGCCTTCTGCAGAAGATAATCAACTTTTCAAGCTATTTGCATCCAGAATGCTGTGTTGTGTGTGCATGTGTTGTGCGTGTGTTGCATCTGTTAAGGTCTCATTGTTTGACTTGTGATGCATCAAACAACCAAGTTCCCTCGTGCACCTTAGCCTATGTAAAAGGGCAAGAGCCTTTGTTCCTTCCCATTCAACACATACAAGGGGTCTTCAAACATTCATGAAAAATGAATGCTATTAAAAATTATGCATGGATCTCAAAATTTTTGTACCAAAATAAGCTTATCTTTTGATTCCATTTTCCACAGACTTTTTGAAGTAATCTCACAGGTTACTATCTTATCTGTGGTTAGTCATTTAAATCCACATTGATTTCGTGTGGAACAAAAGCTACGTATGAAGTGTACCTCATTCTTTATGATGGTAGGGCCATGTGCCCATTGAACTTATCAATTCCTGTCATAAAATGAAAAAACAAACAGTAAACTAGCTTCCTTATTGTTCTTCCGGGACCGTCAGAGGCCAGCTTGAAAGCCAGCCAGGAAAGCAGGGCCAGTGATCTTTCCACTCATTAGGACTGGGTCGATGGGGCCAGGATAGAGGGTGAAGGAAGGGCAACAGTCAGAGTTACTGGTAGTATTTCTTTTCTTTTCTACTATTACGAATCACCAACATTCCCATCAGTTTCTGCAGTTTAAAAAATGCTCTCCCAGGTGTTTTCCTTAATCCAGTTAATGTTGGGCGAAGGACAAAGTTTGGGGGATGACAGTTGAAAAGCTGTATGGAGAGAAGAGCTGGGGAAAAAAGGTAAAACACCCAGGAGACAGGAGAGGAGTCACGCTTCCACAGCAGAGAGGACATTAGGTACTGGGGAGCAAACCACTGACATGTGACAAGACGTTGGCATCCTCCAGAGGGCCACAGGGCGTAAACAGTAGCCGCTGTGTTTGGGTTATTAAAATTTCATGAGGGAACTGGTGATCGGGAAAAGCATACCTAAAAAGATCCGCTGAGAGTGGCAGTGGAGGAGTGACGAGGGAAAAAAAGTGGGTAAACACTGGTCTGACTCTGGCGTTGTGGTGCTTATGACTATTCCCTAGACATGTTAAACATGTTTGTCTAGCACATCTGCATCTGGCCCCGTCCGTCCTGTGCTCTTGCATGCGACTCCCTGTGACCATCTGTCCTCCTCTAAACCCTTTCCTCTTCTCGTCACAGCCACCTGAATTAGGATGGACACGAGCTGTGACTAGTGACAGACGGGCTGGCCGGGGAGCAGCTGCACCTCACTGGCTCTCCCTCAGCCTCCTCCCTCTCCACTCCTGAATGTAGCTCTGTGTTTTTGGTAATGCCTGATCTACCCCTCTCCTTTTGAGATGGCCACCAAAAGAGTGGGTACCCAGAATACCCTGGTGATGATATCTCTCCAAGATAGGCCATGGGGGCTGGCTTGTCGTTCCTTTGCATGGGATTGAATGAGATGGGGGAGAAACCCATTGACGGTATCAGCTCTGGGTCCTTATGCCTGGTTAATGTAAAGTAGGGCTCTCAACAGTGGCACTGTCTACATTTTTGGCCCAGGTAATCCTTGGTTGTGGGAAACCATCCTGGGCATAGTAGCATGTTTAGCAGCACCCTGACTCTCCAGTTGTGTCAATCGAAAGATGTCTTCCGATAAACACCTACCATTATTTATCAATTAAAAATAAAACAGAAAATCCAGGGGATAAGAAATTCTCAACCCCTTATTCCTGCAAGTAAGGTCAAAAATGTCATTAAGGGTTCATTGTCCGCAGTTAAGCATTGTCTTCATGAGGATGTCACCAGGAGTGGGGCCAAGCGGCCGTGATACTGACAGCGAGCACTCAACCAGCGCTTGCCAGGCACATTCCACAGCTTGACTCATTGGCCCTCCAGCAATCAAGGAGTGAACAGCACAGCTGTTCCACCTGTGCTGCCATTGAGGAACCTGCCTGAGGTCAGCCAGCTGGTGCTGGGAGAGTCACCCAGGCAGCACAGTTCCAGTGCCTAGGCGCTCATGAGTGCATGACGTCTGCACTTCTTCAGCCTCCGCGAGGCTTGGTGTGGTGCCAGGTGCATGATGGGTTCTCGCTGGATCCTTACTGACACTGGTGTTTACTTGGGCGCTCTGTCTCCTATCCCTGCATGGCATGCTCCCTTTCTTCCAGTGTGGCTCTGCCCAAGTATCACTTCCTCTGTGAAGACAGTTTATTGTTCTCCACACCCCAACGGACTAAAATGTCTGTTGTGTTAATTGCTGTATCCGCAGCACCTGGTGCCCATTAAATGTGTGGAGTGAGTGAAGACACCCTTTAGCTAAATACTGTATTAAGTCTCCATGCTCTGTTAGGTACTGCCTTCCTGCAGTACTGCATTTAAAAATGAGCCTTTCTCTTAAGGACCGAGGGTCTTGCCGAAGAAAAGCATGGCCCATGAGAGAATGGCCAGTGTTTTGGGGCCCCTCAGGTGTTGTCCATCAGAAGCTTGTAACTAGCCTATGTCACTCATGCATGTCCATTCCGTCGTTTGCTTTGCTGGTTTGTGAAAGGAATTCAAGAGTCATGATCATTTACGTAGCAATTCACCTTTATACATACTTACCATGGCTTGAATCATGTGTTAAATTTTAAATACTTTTGGGGAAATGTGTTACATACAATACAGTGGCTGATTTTTGTGCAGAATTCGTCAGAAAGTGACTCTGAGCCGGTGCTACGGCTCACTAGGCTAATCCTCCACCTTGTGGTGCCGCCCGGGTTCTAGTCCCGGTCAGGGTGCCGGATTCTGTCCTGGTCGCCCCTCTTCTAGGCCAGCTCTCTGCTGTGGCCCGGGAGTGCAGTGGAGGATGGCCCAAGTGCTTGGGCCCTGCACCCCATGGGAGACCGGGAGAAGCACCTGGCTCCTGGCTTTGGATCAGCGCAATGCGCCGGCCGCAGCGCACCGGCCGCGGTGGCCATTGGAGGGTGAACCAACGGCAAAGGAAGACCTTTCTCTCTGTCTCTCTCTCACTGTCCACTCTGCCTGTCAAAAAAAAAAAAAAAAAAAAAGTGACTCTGCCTGTGTCTCTCCATGACTACTATTCGTAAGTTGAAAAATAATACAGCTTTAATGAAAATATATTAAAATTTGGCAATTGCTGTAATTATATGCTAAATGAAGCCACATAGTTACTGTAGATAGAAATGTAGTTAAATTGAGTTGGAATCAACCTTTTCCTTTCAAAATTATACTTTTTTCCACCTTCCAAAAAACTGTTCTGGGATGTTGAGAACCTCGTCTTTCTTCCAACTGCAGGGTTTGAGGGTAGTCTTTTTTTTTTTTTTTAAGACATCTGTGGATGCCGTGAAATTAAGCATTTGAAGCCATTTGGTTTACTGTAAACTTGAGAGAGCTCATTCCCTAACCCTGAAATTTAGCACTGAGACATATTTTTAAAAAGATGTATTTTTTTATTTGAAAGTCAGAGTTACAGAGAGATAAAGAGTAAGAGAGAGAGAGAGGAAGGAAGGCAGGCAGGCAGGCAGGCAGGCAGAATATCTTCCATCTGCTGGTTCACTCTCCAAATGTCCATAATAGCCAGGGCTCCATCCAGAAACTCCATCCAGGTCTCCTCTCTGGGTGGTAGGAAGCCAAGTACTTGGACCAGCTTTTGCTGCCTCCCGGCTGCACTGCCAGGAAACTTGATTGGAAGCATGGAGTAGCTGAGATTTGAATCAGGCATGTGGGCATTCCAAGCAAGGGCTTAATCTGCTATGCTATCTGCTCACCCTGCTAACTTTATTATTTATTTGTTTTTATTTGAAAGGTATAGACACAAATAGAGAAAGATATTCCATCCACTAGTTCACTCTCCAAATGCCTACAATAGCCAGGCCTGGGCCAGGCCAAAGCCAGGAGCCTAGAATTCAATCTAGGTCTCCCACATGGGTGGTTGGGACCTAAATACTTAAGCCATCATCTGCTGCCTCCCAGGGTGTGCATTAGTAGGAAGTTGGATTGGAAGCAGAGTAGCTGGGACTTGACCCAGTCACTCTGATACGCCACTGCACCAAAGGCCTGCCCCAGAAGTTGCTGGTTTAAAACCGTCCATTGGAGGCTGGTCTTTCAGAGGGGAAAACAGAGATGGCTGTTTTCATGATCTGTTCCCTCACTGACCCTCCTCACTGTGTTCACACTGCTCTCTGCTACCCTAGCCTAGCCTTGGGGAAATTTTACTGTTAGATTGTTTTGGAAGGTCAATAGAGGCAGGTGTTTGCCTGGGACATCCTCCACTCCTGAGGAGTTCCTAGACTGGATTTGGATGTCAGAAGAAATCCCCTTTAAAGCCATGTGAACGTTAACGTCCACAGACCCAGCTGGTAGAGATGCTCACGTATCTCGGGCAGCAGGGCAGCCGAGACACCATGCGTCAGAACTGAGTGGGAGAATTCTGACCCAGCCTCCAGAAGGCTGGCTGAAGTGAGAAGCACGTCCAAAGGCGGAAATGAAATGAAGGTGAAGTGGCATAACTGTACTGAGAAAGTCAGGACTCAGAGGCCCACAGAACTGCAGACACACACATGCATGCACACCACACACACCCACACACCCACACACCCTTTCTTCTTGGCTTTCCAGCCTCATCACAGCCCGGGGGGCAGGATTAAGTGGCAGACACTGAGCAGGTGCCACAGTGCCACCTGTGTTAGAACAAGACAAAGAGTGTTGCTGCCTGTTGCCAGGCTGGCCAGGGAAGGGCCCTTGGGGTAGCCTGATGAACACACACATCCCAGTCTCCACACTGGAGACTCTTGAGTTCAGCAAATTTGAGGTAGGGCCTGGGAGTGTGCCTTTTTAAAAGGTAGACAGCCAGGTCTGGGAGCCACTGCAAAGACTGGGAGAAATAACATTTTTTTGTTCGAGGCAGTGACCACCAGCAGCAATTACATGAGAGCTGGGGACCTAGGGGGATGCAAGGGAGTTTTACAACTTAGGCCTCTTTCTGTGACTTCTTTGGTAATTTTAGAAGTCTTTAAAAAATATTTTGAGAGCAAGAGAGAGACAGCAAGCAAGTGTGCCACCATCTGTTGGTTTATTCTCCAAGTACCTGCAACAGTGAGGGCTGAGGTAGACCAAAGCTGGGAGCCTGGAACTAAACGTGGGTCTCTCACGTGGATGGCAGGAACCAAAGTACTTGAGCACTTGATGCCTCGCAGGGTGCATAATAACAGGAAGCTGGGAATGGACGCAGAGCTGGGACTCAAACCCAGTCGCTCCAGTATGGGATGTGGGCTTCCCAAGCAGTGTCTCAACCATTACACCAAATGCTTGCCCCTCTGCCACTTCTTAAGAGGAAACAGATTTAAGTCATCGTGTGATACCAAACACTGAATTAGCAATTTTTATACATGTGGGTGAAAGATAATATCAAAGGTAGAAAAAAACTACAAAGGTGATTGATTATTATGTTCTTGGGTTAGGGCATCGTGTGAACGAGCATTTACTTCTAGTAATTAGAAAGCATAAGAGGGGGCATTCCAAACCGAATCTTATTTTGGACTCTGAATATTACTGGATTGGGCAGCTTCCCAGGTCTGAGTCCTCTATGTGATAGGCAGATGCAGAGGGGAAGTGATGTCCGGTACCAGTCCAGCCACCCTGGGAACCTAGGAGCTTGCTCTGCTGTGTAGGAGCTCTGTTCCATACTCACAGCACCGATGGCTGTGATGGCCAAGCTCACAGGTAAGCATACAACTCCATGGTAGTTTCCTTCCATGAATCCCAGGGCTGGCTCAGAGTTGCTGTATCTGAGGAATGTGCTGGTGAGGTTTTTGGTGAAAGACCCCATCCTAGTTTTCAGTGTCTCCGTCCTTTGCCTTTGAACAAGATGTGGGCAGGGAGGCTTATGTATTTACGCCACTGCTTGGTGTCCCTTGGGCATCCAGGCCATGAAGTCTCTGAGGTAAGGACGGATAGGAAGGTCATGAGAAGAGGCAAGTGCCCTGTTTTGGTGGAAGGTGCTGCTCGTATAAGGTCCATGAGTCTTTTTTCTAGACAGGAGCGTAGACACAAAGTTCCTCTGCCAGAGCACGTGTGGGTGCAGCTCCTGCCCACCACGTGTACCTGAGAGGACACAGTGAAGGCTCAGAGCATTCAGAGGGCATGGCTGAGGCTGGTGCCAGGTGGGGACTGAGCCTCGTCAGACCTGTTGGTAGATTTGCTCTGAGGGCCTCCAGGTAGACAGAAGATCCAGTGACAGATTTTTCTGTTCTTGTTCAGATCTGACCTGGTGGTAGCCCAGTAAATCCATGGTGTCACCACAGACTTTCTGAATTTGAGAAACCTTTGTGTAAGGCAGGGACCAGCGCCAGGCCTGGGACACATTGATGGCGTCCCTGGCATTTGTATGGAAGGCATGCTCACCCATGCCCTTGCCTCTGGTGATGTTATGCACCCAGGTCTGGAGATGGGGCAAGAATCTCAACCCCACGTAGTCATACATTCGGGACGTCTGGACCAGGGGGTCCCGGACCAGGTCCTCATAGCGCATGAGCAGGTAGCGCTGCTTCAGGGCTTTGGGCAGGGACAGGATGGCCTTGAAGATCTCCAGCTGGCTCTGGCAGATGATCTGCATTGTGTAGTATGGTTGGTCCTCCTTCTTGATCTTTTGCCAATGCTGCCCCATCACAATGTGGCTGTCAATCATGAGTTCTGCCACTGTGTGTTCTCGAGAACGGAACACAGCCCGGGGATCCCGGACCAGGTGCACGATGTGCAGGTTGAGGGAAGGGTCTGTCAGCAGCGGGTAGAGGGACTGCAGGTTGAAGAAGCGCACCTCCTTGAGCACCACGTGGCTGTAGGAGCGGCAGGCCTTCTCCACTGCCTCAAAGGGCTCTCGATTGCACAGGAGCTTGCAGTGAGCCTGGGAGATGATCTTGTCCCGAGGGAAGACGTTACAGGCAGGTGGGGAACACAGGGCCCGGCTGTGGTCCCAGTGGAAGACACTGGACAGTTTCCGGGGCCCTGGTGACATGTAGGCATCAAAGACACTCATGTCACACAGAAAGACAGAGCGTATCAGGTCCCGCACTGCCATGTGCAGCCTCCAGGGCGTGCTCTGTGTGAAGGTCATCCACACGTGCCAGGCGGGCTCCATCAGGTAGAAGACATCTGGGTGCTGCCCGAAAAGCTGCCCCACAAAGGAAGAGCCTGAGCGCCACGAGGACAGGATGAGCACGTGCATGGGCTTGGGCTCCTCCTTCCTGGACAGGGAGAACGAGTCCTGGCTGTACTTGTGGAACAGGAGCACAAAGAGCACCATCTGGGAAAACAGGAACAGCAGTAGGCGCACTTTTCTGTGCAGCATCATTGTGCCAGTGTGGAAGACCCTGCAGAAAGCAGCAGAAGGGCCCGAGTTACAGAGCAGTTCTGGTGGCTGCCTTCCTTCCCCTCTCCCAGAGTCACCCCTACCCAGGAGCCATGTAGAAAGCCAGAACCTTCCCGCAACAGCACAAACCCCTCTGCAAATCTTGCTCCTGCAGTTAGTGTGTCGATCAGTTCATTTTTAAGGCCTTCAGTGCTCCCTTACTGGTCTTTCTTTCCCTTGACCCGATCAAGAATACCTGAATTCACTATACTCGGTCAACACAGGGCCCGTGATGGGCACATCTCCTTCACTTAGGCCATCTGGCAATGCCAACCCTCAGTCTGACCCAAATCTTGGTTGAATACCTTGTGATTCTTCCTGAAACTGAGGGAGATAAGCCAGCCTTCAGGGAACTGCCTTGAGGCCATTGCTCAGCCCTGCCCCCACCTTGAAGGAGCGCACCACTAGGCTGAGTGTCTTTCCCTCCCCCACCTTAAGCACAAGACTTTCCACTCCAGTGTCCAGATTGACAGGGCTACAGACCATGAACTTGATACAGTTGTGTCCTCAGTGGCAGAGCCAAGTGCCCATGGCACCTGTCACCTGATTTCTTCTCGCTTGTTCTCATCCTGTGGGACCAGGGACATATGGAGCTGATCCAGTGCTGCATCTTTGTAGGTCGCAAACCACCTGAACCTATTTGAGCTAGATCATTCTTTCCTGCCCAGCTGACTCTGTATGAGTGTAGCAAGCCACCTGAGCTGCGTGGTGATACTTGTGGCCTGTTTGCCACTGTGCTGCCGCTTAGAGAATGCTTGCCTGTTTGACACAGCCTACTCAGGGCTGCTCAGTGTGGTTGGGGGGGGTTGTACACTGCAGCCTTAGGAGACATCACCTCATCAAGAATTTAGATATCTATTATAATTTTTTTTCCTATGATGGGTATTTGGCATTGTAGTTAAGACTTCGCTTGGGATACCAGTTCTACTCCTGAATCCATTTTCCTGCTAATGCATACCCTAGGAAGCAGCAGCTGATGGCTCAAGCAGTTTGGTCCTGGCCACACATGTGGGAGACCCACATTGGGTTCTGAGCTCCTGGATTTGACCTGGTTCAGTCCTGGCTGTTGTGGGCATTTGGGGAGTGAGCCAATTGATGGGCTGAAGTTGGATCTCCATCTCTCTCTTTCTCTCCCTTTCAAATAAGTAAAATATTAAAAAAATTTTTTTTTCTGTGGGCAGTGGTAAATTAGTCATCTTGATCCAATAAGAAAATATATTTAGGGTAGTTTTCTAGTTGTAATGTGTTAAATATTTAGAGAAGGGTTTTCGTTTTGTAACCCACAGAAAGGCACATCAAACTCTGACAACCCAGACCTTACTCGCCTCACAACCAGAGCTTGCTTTGTGTGGAAAAAAAAAAAAAAAAAAAAGCACAGTAGGGGCTGTGGCTGTGGCTTAGTAGGCTAAGCCTCCGCCTCTGCCTCCGCCTCCACCTCCACCTGTGGCACTGGCATCTCAAATGGGTGCAGGTTCTTGTCCCGGCTGTTCACTTCTGATCCAGCTGTCTGCTTATGGCCTGGGAAAGCAGTAGAGGATGGATCAAGTGCTTGGGCCCCTGAATCTGTGTGGGAGACCCAACAGAAGCTCCTACTTTTGGCCTGGCCTAGCCCTGGCCACTACGGCCATTTGGGGAAGCCAGTGATTGGAAGGCTTTTCTCTCTGACTCTCCCTCTCTCTGTAACTGCCTCTCAGATAAAAAAATAAAATCTTAAAAAAAAAAAAACAAAAACCAAAAAAAACCACTCTGTTACTAGGGCCACGGTAGGAGATTTAAACTCTTTCCTTCATGATCCTGGATCAACTTTGGGGTACTTCCTGACATCAGTAATGACTGAGAGACATGATAACTGTAACAAAAGGGCATAAATATAGTAGCAAGGAAGTGCTCTCTTCCTGCTTTAAAAAATAAGAGTGACTATATTTCCAGAAAGTAATTGGAGCTGGGTTTAGGGTTTGCTATTTTCCTGGTGACAGATCTTACTGCTAATGTTAGAAAAAGTTTTGAATGGGTAATATGAGTAGTTAGATGGTTCAGATCATTTTGAAAAGCGTCGTCATGGGTGTTAGGTCCACAGACTCAGAATCTACAATTAGGTGAGACTCTGCAGGCAGGGAGAAAGCTTGCAGCCTGGCCTGTCATAACTCAGCTCCTCAACGTGAGGGCTCCAGAAAGTTCCTGGAAAGTGGATTAAAAGATAAGTCTATTTTGCTGCAAAAGTTTTGAAATCCAAATCCATGAATAGTATTTTCATGACTTGTACTCTCCATGAAGTGAAGTAGTTTTTTTGTTTTTTGTTTTTTTGTTTTTTTTTTTTTAAGATTTATTTAGAAAGGCAGAGAGAGAGAGAGAACTTCTACCTACTGGCTCACTCCCCAAAGTACTTGGGCCATCATCTGCTGCTTCCCAGGTGCGTTAGAAGGGAGCTGGTTTGGAGGTGCAGTAGCTGGGACTTGAACTGGTGTTTTGATACGGGAAGCAGGCATCCCAATCGGTGGCTTAACCTGCTGCACCACAATGCCCGTCCCCTCAATAAACTTTCTGAAGATTTCTCTGTGGGTGGATTTCAGTTTTTTGGCACTCACATAGACGTATTTTAATTTCACTTCATTTCCCACAAACATTTTGAAGTGCCCCCAGAGTGGACGGGGGAAGTCTTGTGTCCGTGGGAGAGGTCTGCAGCGGGAAGTGAGGAGACTGCCGGTGGGGCTATGTGGAAAGAAGGCAACGATGTGTCTTTAAGGAGGACACAGTATTTTTCCAGGGAAAAGAACACCTAAGAATCTTCCTGCTACTGAATTAGTTGCTTCATCTTACGATGAACAGCTGGCATTTACCCACCACTTCGGTATACTGCACAGCACAAAGTCTACTTCCAGCACGTGCCCCCCTGCCCATTTCCCACTTCACCTCCAGATAGCAATAGGACATACTTTATAAAATGGGTCCTTTTTGCTGCTTTATGTACACACAGGCAAATGCAAACATGCATGTATTCTCAATGTTTTCCCTCTTCAAAACACAAAAAATAGTAAGTTTAGCAAATTATCCACACTGTGCCGCCCCCTCTTGTCTTTGCTTGTCACTGGGTCTGGAGGAGCTCTTCAAGGCAGTATCAAAGTGTGTCCTTATTCCTTCTTTACCAAGCAGCATTCTGCTGTATGGATTTGCCACATCTTATTTAACTGTTTTCCTCATTGATGGCCTTTCGGGCTCTTTCTAGTCTTAGCCATGTCAGATGTTTTAGTAATGACCTATATATTCACACACCATTGCACATGTATGTAGCATAAATCCCCAGAACTGGAATTGCTGAATCAGAGAGTACCTGCATCTGTAACTTTGATAGATCTCCTACCCGTGTGGCCTTCATACTGGCCATAACCCATTCTCTCTGTCCAGAGCCCCAGCGGCATTAGAGAATGGATTTTAGGGGAGGAATATGCCAGCCACAGATGTGACTCAGAGTTTAGAGCTTGTTTCCCAGAGAGGAGGGTATGTGTGCTTTGCCAGCTCATGGGCTTCCCTTGGAAGTCCCCTGAACTTTCTGGGAAGTATGTAATGACCCAGCGAAACGTTGGGTGACAGTGGCAGAAAAACCCCTTCTCTTCCATCCATTGCAACAATGCTCTTCCTCTGGGTGAGCCAGAAGGATCCAGTGAGGATCATCTCTCCTTCATGGCCAAAAACCACTTTGCTTTATGTCAGGGAAATGTCGACAAACGGTAATTCCTACCTTGTAGTCTTGTCCATGTTGAATTAGAACAGGACCAGCTAAGACAGGTTCCTAGGTCTTAAACCTTAAGCCCAAGTGGAAATGATTAGAAACCAAGTCTTTGTTCTCATGCCTCAAGGATGCCACTCCAAGACTGAAGAGGTGACTTTAGGAGAAGACCTTACTAAAGACGTGAGCATGAAAAGGTTTGGAACATAGAGATAGGAAACAGTGGAGCAGAGGAGAGAGGGAAGCCAGAAATGAAGAGCCTGGCCTGTTGAAAGGAATTTTATAGGCAGCTCCTATAATCACTCTAGGAAAAAGCTAACATTTCCTGAGGATTAGGAAAGTAGACCTGTGCACACTCCCTCCCTCCCTCCCAGCTTCAAGCCAACCCTGCATCCTGTGTGGGGCTCCATGACTCTGCTCCCTTGCCTGCCAACTGCTCCTGGCCTCAGGCCCATTCCCTCTCTGAGCTGGAGGTGAGCCTCCTAACTCTGTCCCCAGCCACTCCCAGTCATCCATGGCGCTCAGGAATTCCTGTGGAAGCCCTCTGACTTCCTCCCCTGCTTGTTCTTTCCATGAGGGCCTTCCCTGGGCAGAAAGAGTATGCTTTTGTGATGGCATACCACCCCTGGACACTGGGCTCTGGAAACATCCTGGGCCTGGACAGCACCTGCAGAGCTGACCAGACAGCCGGGGACGACTCTCGGGGGTGTCTCTGCATCGAGCGTGGTCAGCAGTAGACACTGATGCTCCGGAGGCCACTGCAGAAGTGTGGTGAGGCAACTAATCCCTGTGCTGGACGAGGCTCGGGGAAGAAGGCAAACTCTTCATCTGCATCCTGGAACCCCTCTCCCGGTGCCGGCACTGCCCTGGGATGCTCGGCTCTCCCCATCAGCCACTGCTGCCAGAGAGGATTTTTTTTTTTTTTAAAGAACAAAGCTATCACTTCATTCTGTCACTTCCCTGCTAAAAATCCTTTGCCAACTCTCCAGCATTTGTAGAAATAAATCAAAACCCCCAAGCCTTACACCTCAGGTTCTGGATGGCCTGATCTTGATTTCCTGTGATTCTTCTCCTCCACTAGGTGCCAGACTTAACTTTCTGTTCTTTCACACTTGCCCTGCTGCTCAGGAGCCCTGAGGCTTTCGTGAGCCTGCCCTCTTCCTCCCAGAGTCTGCTCCCTCTCAGGAATGGCTTGTACTGCAGACTCTGCACCAGCATCCCCCTGCCCCGCCCCCGCCCCACCACCCCCGGCGGCAGGAAGCAGCTGTCTGTGAAGGTCTGCACTGGGCTGCTGGAACTTGCAGGAAAGCCTGTCTGATCTCGCAGGATAAATGAATAAGTCAGTAACCTGTGGAGCCTGGAAAGAGCCATGATCGTTGTTGACAGCAGATGACTGAGTTCCTTCCTTCACGATGTAGAAACCTGCCCTTTCCAGAATGCGAGGACAGTCGTTAGGTTCAGTTATTAGAATTTAGCGGAGTGTTCAGCACATCACCAACACCGTCTCAGTTACGCAGAGCAAGGTGTAGTAAAGTCTGAGGCCTCAGTTTGATGCAATATGGCACAATCCAAAAATAGTTGCCACACTGAGCATGTATTAATTCAGACTAGGGAAGAAACCCATGAACATTATTTTTAGAAAATGTTAAAAAAAAGTAAAGGCCCCAATGTGGGATAAGAGGCTACCTGCTCTAACCAGCTCACTTAAAAACCCCACGTCAGTACATTCTAGAGTGTCACCCCCACAGTAATTTAAAAACACACTGCCCCAGTGATGGGTGAGTGGTGGTACTATCTCAGAACACGAAGGGCAGACCATCCCCAGAGAAGCCTGAGAACCACAGGATCTTAACAATGTCACCAAAGAGAGCAGGTGGGAGCAAAGGAGAATCATTATATTCTTGGAATTGTATCTATGCACTATGTTGAATCTGTAAAAAATTAAAAATACACATTGGGGCCAGCACTGTGGCGTAGCAGGTGAAGCTGCCACCTACAGTGCTGACATCCCATATGTGTGCCGGTTCAAGTCCTGGCTGCTCCACTTCTGATCCAGCTCTCCGCTGTGGCCTTGGAAAGTAGTAGAAGATGGGCCCCTGCTCCGTGTGGGAGACCCGGAAGAGGCTCCTGGCTCCTGGCTTCGGATTGGTGGAGCTCCAGTCGTTGCGGCCAGTTGGGGAGTGAACCAGTGGGTGGAAGACCTCTCTCTCTTTCTCTCTCTCTCTGCCTCCCCTTCTCTGTGTAACTCTTTCAAATAAATAAATAAATCTTTAAAAAATTTAAAAATACACTTTTTAAAAAAAATCATCAAAGGAGTAGTGATAAGGGAGAACCTACACTAGGCAAAGGGACCATGAAGTCCCCCAAATCAGCCCTGTGTAAGGTTTTAGGAACAAAATGGGGGAATTCTCAAGGAAAAAAAAACCAAACAGATATCAATTTAAGAAATCTGGATTCCAGCCACCCAGCACATTCCTAGTGAGATTATGCCCTGGTGACCAGAAATTAGACATGGCAGACACTGGCTCGCACAGAGACTGGAGAATCACTGGATCCAGTGATCATCACCCATAGTCTGTAGACCTGGGACAGCTGTGCAACCAACCCCTGGAGCCAAGGGTGTCTTGAATACCAGTGCTGTCTGGTGCCAAGGTCAGTGCTGGGCACACAGTAGGTACTCAAGAAACATCTAGCAGTGATTGACTGAGTGACATCTGTAGAATGCTGTTTACTGTTTTGAGGTGCCCTCATAGACCCAGGAAGGAAGCATTTGAATTTTGCACGTATGAAAATATTCCAGTCCCAATGAGAAGTTCCAGACTTGACCAGGGCCACTTAAGATGGAAGAGTCTCCTGCCTTAGCATAGTTGCTAGCCCTGTAACTTAATTATATTTTACCTCTGCATGGCATTCCGCAATTTTCAAGGTCTTCTTGGGGCAGTCATGAAAACAATTCAGTTAGGAATTTAGGACAGTCAGGAGCCACTCCTCCCATTTTTCAGGATTAAGAAACTGAATTTTAATTGATGGCTGTAACAACATTGCCTGGAGCAGGACCCAGGTCTTTTGGGTCCCAGGTTGTTCAATGACCGTACTACACCTCACCTGAGCTACGAAACAAACCTGCAGCTGACTGCACCTCCTGCCTTCCCTTCCCAGCAGAGATAGGGGAGAAGCTGTAGGAAGTACAGCAACAAGAGCTCCAAAGTCAGGACCTGACCAAATCAGAGGCACCAGGGAACTGTCACAAAACACACATCAGAACAGCACTCCCCACGTCTGGCTCTTTTGGGTTCTTGTAGGGTTGGAGCCGGTGTGTGTGTAGAGGGGAGCTGCTGGTAGGCAGAGTATTTTTTTTCCACCCCAAAGAGTCCCCTGGTTCATTCTGATTCACCCTCTCTGGGTGAGCCCCCTTCCAGCATCAAAATCCCCAGTGGAGCTGCCAGAGGTTGTGTGGTACTCTGGCTCCCTCGGCCCTGGGATCCTGGCCCTGCACTGGAGGTGAACACAGGGAAATTCTCTTCTTACCTTGCTAAGGGCTTCAGCTTCCCCACTGCTGAGAGAGGCTGGCTGCCAGCCGGCCTGTGGACTTCTCTGCTCTGACTCACCAACCCCCTCTGGGCTCCCTCCTCTTCCTCCTCCCCACCCCTCCTCCTCCTTCCCTTTCTCTTCCCCCTCCTCCTCCTTCTCCTCCTCCTCGAATTTTGCATACCCATCCTGTGTGGCTGCCCTCTCTCTCCCTTTTGCTGCAAAAAGGACCCACCTTGCAAGGCAGGCTGGAGAAAGCCCTTGCTCCTGGGGAGCTCCAGCCTCAGCAGCTTGAACAGTGGCGAGACGCCAGGGTAGGAAGATTCTACTGCAGGTGGGCTGGGAGCAGCAGAGGAGGAGGCATTCTCCCCAGGGGCTGGAAGCTGATCCTGGAATGTTCACTCCTCAGAGGCAGCCATGGAGGTCAACTCCCTTAAGGCAGAGTGGAAACAGAAAAAGATCCTTGGAAATGAGGTTGATAGGAGCATTGCCTGACAGTAACAGCCTGAGTGCTCTGAAGATCTTGACTCTTGCTGTTACTCTTATCTCTGAGAAAATGTGAACATAACCTCTGCATGGGCACCTGCTTTACTCGCCCCACCCCAGGTCTGGGAGGGGGTTACATTTCTCAGCCTCTGTGTCATATTCAGTGTTTTCACCCTTCTCAAAGGAGATAATAAATATATTCTGGGAGGACATGGATGTTTGGTTGGAGCAGGGAAAAAATATTTCCCCAGAAGGAAAAAAAAAGATACAAGTTACTTTTAAAGATGATAACTTAGTAGCCCTTGGGCTAGCCAGGTCCCCACCCTGAATTTTTTCCAGTGGATGCACATGAATAAATGGGAATTGTGGTGTCGTGTGGAAGTCACAGACTTTGAAAACAGAGATCTGGGCAAGTCATTGCACCTCTGTGAGCCCTAGGATAGCTGAGTAAAATAAGGGTAACAATGTCCACCTTATTGTGTTCTTGTGAAAGCCAGGATCAACACATATGAAGCCCCTAATAAAAATCTTGACAACATTCGTAGCTATTATTGAGTGATAATAGCATCTCATTTCTCTTACTCAACTGCTGCCAGGTTTTCCAGGCTTAGAAGGGAGAGAGAGAAAGCAGGCGGTGTTGTTTGAGATCTGGGAAGTTTATGTTTGCTGATTTCCATCAGCTGAGTCCCCTAAGGCCTTATCATCGGGACCTGTGCAGGTCACCATGGCTGCATGTTGATTTCCGTTGCCGTTGTGTGGATCTTCCTTCCCTAATCTTCCCCTCTGAAAATTTCAGAGCCAGACCCCCGGGCTTTGGCAGTTTTACTTTTATTCCCTTTCAAAAAAGTAATGCTCGCTAAGTATAGGAGATCGGAAACTACCAGTGTGTGTAAGGAAGAAAATGTAGATGCCTTTACGTGCTGATCCTGAGAGGACCACTGTTGGTCGGTGTCTTCCCCACATGTGGAGAGGTCACACCAAAAATAGCTTTCTGTGTTTGTTTCTTCCAGTGTTTTTACTTTAAGATATCTTAATTGGGAAATACAATTAGGGCTGAAAGGTACAGTTTACCTATAATATTAAGGAACTACCACTTAAACTAAAAAAAAACAAAAAACAAAAACCAAAAAAACCATGAAAAACCAAAACCAGAACATTCGCTCTGCCCTTCTCTGTCATTTCTCAGAGATAATTGCTTTGACCGTAAGCAGTGCCTTTCTCTTCCCTCTGCTTTATGGCCTTAGTTAATACCATTGACCAGTCCGCATTTTGACCTTGATGTAAATGGAATCTTATTTATTTGAGGGAACTTCAAAGAGCTCATGGCAAAGTAGAATTAAAAGATAAGTTTATTTTGGTGCAAACCATTTTAAAATCTGCATGGTTCATGCATTTCCAATGGACTTTTTAAAATACTTTGTATATATTCCTTTGAGCTTTCTTCATTTTGTGTTAGACTTGTAAGAGTTATCTCGTGTGGGGTAACTATATTTAATAATTATCTTATTTTATGAGCAATTAAAGGGACAAAGTTCCAAGGTTGCAACCATAAAGTAATGTCACAGAAGGGGAACTGGTGATGACCCTGACCTGATCAGTAAGCATTGCATATTTGAAATGTTGCCTATAAATATATACAATTATTGCTTATAAAGTTTTTGAAAAGACGATTCATCATGTTGTTGATATAGTTTGAGTTTTTTATTTTCTGTGATTTTTTTATCTTGTGATTTTTATCTTGTGATTTATATTGTGAATGGATGATGTAGCTATTTATGCTTGTAGTTAGGACTAAAGATTCCTGACTAATATCCTTGCACGTGTTCTTAATCATCTCTTGGGCGTGCCAGGACAATAGGCTGTGACTGGTTTTGAGTGTTTCTCTTTTAAAAAATACTTAATTTGGGAAGAGAGAGTGAGAGAGAGAATCCCATCCATTGGTTTACTATGAAGTCTGCACTGAAGTCTACAATGACTGGGGCTGGAGTATATTGAAGCCAGGAGCTGAGAACTCAATCTGAGTCTTCCACATGGATGGCAGGAACCCAGCTATTTGAGTCAGCACCTGTTGGCTCTCCAGTTGCTCATTAGCAGGAAGCTGGAGTCAGGAGTGGAGCCAGAACTCACACCCAGGCACCCTGACATGGGATGCACATGTCCCACCCCTAAGAAGATGATCTTAATGAGTAAATAAGATTTTGTACATGAAGTAGCTAGCAGTCTTTCACGCAGTGTAGCTTCCCCACCTCCTTCTCTGCATGTGACACCACAGATCTTAGCCAGTTTAGTTTGTGAATTATAAAGCGTTCAGGAAGAATTTTTGGAAAGGCTAGGCTGGAAGCAGCCATTAAGAAATATTCACATAAATTGAAAACTCAGGGTATTATAATCAGAGGCCACTCCCAGCTAGGGTTTATGGAGCCTGATGACTATGGGAGAAGGTCATTGCAGTTACTGCTAATTCGGAGCTTGCTACAGTGCCTGGCACTTGCATGGGGCACTTACATAGGTTATGTTTATTCGTCTTTGTTATGGCCTCTAGAGGTAACTTCCATATTATCCAGAATACAGATTATAGGCTTAGAGAAGGTTAAAAAAATGAATTCACATTTGCGTGGCTTAAAAGTGGCTTGTAAGTCTGGACTCAGCTACAGGCCTGAATTCAAATACCAGCCTAATGCATCAGGCCTGTATTACTGTGGGCCAGGATTGCTATTTGCATTCCTTTTCCCTGTGTTCCTGCAAACAGTCAAGTAGAATGCAGACATCTTTGCATAGTTACATGAATAGAAACTCAACAAGGAGCTTTCCAAATCCTTAGGACTTGTAGACCACATGGGGGACTCCAATACAAGGAGCAAAAGGGAATACATATTTGTCAACGTTGATAGTTTTAATCTAGCCCCTTCTCACTGTTCCCTTCTTGCTTTTTTTTTTTTTTATTCCTGAAACCTTCCTGAATATAATGAGATTCCTGCAATATTGTATGACCTCTAAGTAACTGATCCTACCTGCCGTCCTTTCTTTGACAGTCACTCAGGCTGGCAGAATGCCAAGCAGCAAAAGCAAAGTGTCCTCTGGTCTCTGGTCTGTGGGGTGGTGGGCACGTTCAGGGCCTGGGCTTCTAAGCCTGTATGGTGCTTCATAGCACAGGGGAACACGTTAATGGCCAGCACCCAATATTCACGTATGCTCATGGGAATTACACAAAAGAAACACCATTTCTCTAAGGCAACACTATCAACAGAAGTCAGTGTGATAAGGGAAATGATATGGACTAATACGGGAGCTAATACTACATGTGGTCATTTAACACCAGCAGCATGCCCAGAGTGGGGAGGCCTTGGGTGCAGTGGTGCAACTGTCACGTAGGTTGCCCCGATTCCTTACCAGAGTGCGTGGGTTCAAGTCCAGGCTCTGCTGCCTTCCAGCTTCCTGCTGATGCACACTCGGTGGCAGCAAGTGGCTGCTCAAGTACTTGGACTCCTGCCACCCCTGTGAGAAACCCAAATTAAGTTCTAGCCCTGGCTGTTTAGTTATTTGAGGAGTGAACCAGTTGATGGGAGTTCTCTGTCTATCTCTGTCTTTCCAATAAAATAAGAAAATAAATAAATAAGTCTGGTACAACTATACTGGATAGTGTGGTTAGGGTTGTAAAGATCCAATTCCTTTCCTTTTTTTTTTTTTTTTAAAGATTTATTTACTTATTTGAAAGTGCTGCAGAGACAGGGAGATACAGGGAGGTGGGGGAGGGAGAGAGAGAGAGAGACAGACAGACAGGTCTTCTATTCTCTGGTTCAGTTTCCAAATGACTGCAATGGCTTGGGCTGAGCCAAGCCAAAGCCAGGAGCCTAGAGCTTCTTCTAGGTCTCCCATGTAGGAGCAGGGACCCAATTATTTGCTTTCGTAGGCACGTTAGCAGGGAGCTGGGTTGGAAGTGGAGCAGTCAGGACTCTAACAGATGACCATATGGGATGCTGGCGCTGCAGGTGGTGACGTAACCTGCTACAACACAATGCCAGACCCCTAGTTTATTTTTTGAGTCTCAGGAAATCTGATCAACAGTATAGGCCTTCTCTCTGGAATATTGTATATTTGTTCATGTACAAACCCACAATCATTTCCCATTTTGAAGAGTCCAAGGTAAGAAAGGAAGGCTGTGAGTACTTAAGTTGCTTCTCAAAGCATGATGTGAAGAACTTCGTCTCCCCAGGACCTTTATCCAGCAGAGCTGTAGGCTGTGTCCTGCCCTTGGATCATTGTCATCTTTGCAGTCTGGGGACCCCTGAATGGTGAAGAGACTCTGGGGCAGTTGGGATGTAGACTGGATTTCTTAGGAGTCAAGAAGGGATTTCTGCTGGATACACCACCTACTCCTGCCACCTTTACCCAGACCACTGCTCCTTGTGGGAGGAGTCAGATGGGTAATAGGCAGTCAGGGTGGTCCCTTGATAGAAATTTGGAATAGTGAAGTGCCTGCTCCTCTCAAAAGGTTATCTTTAGCAGATCAGAGTGTCTTGTTTTCTTAGCAATCTCCAAATTTATAAATTTACCATGAGAATAGCAAGGGAGTGGTGATTTCCCCCCTCCTCGTCCTTATGGATGATTTTTTTAATCATGAGGGAGCATGACAGGTTGGAGAATTGTAAATCAGGTCTTTTGTTGAGATTTTCTCTACCTTGTTGATTGACAGTTTGGTACCTAAGATTATACTTAAAAACCCAACTGCTATGGGGCCTTTTGGGGTTTTTCTTCTCTTGGAAGCTCCCCCTCCATGCCGCTCTGGCTGGAGGTCTTTGACTCTAATAAATCTTTTTTAAATCTTTCTGCTGTCTGCTTGGAAATTCTTCTTCCATGTGAGACAAAGAACTGAGGTAACAATAATTTCTTCGCCGCCGTTTTCCCATAACACTTGTGTGCTGAGACTAGAGTGTCTCCACTGCTCCAGCTGCTAGATGTCTTTCCTGTGCACAGGGACACTAAAACAATGAGGAAACAATGAGGCTTTCTGTGAATTCTGGGCTCCAGCCTTCCTCGGTTTACTCAGGATGTTAAGGCCTACAGCTGTTGAAAGAGATGACACACCTTACATTGATCACTGGCCATACTTTACTTGCCAGAGGCTCGTGTTTGCCCTGCTGAGAGCACTGGCTAAATGTCTGGGGTTGGAGAATGGATTCTGAGCTAGAGCTTTCTGATTCAGCTATGTTTCTGCAGGTTGGACCTCAGCACTGTAGGGAGCCACCACATTCTGAAGAAGCTCTTGTAATCCACAAATCCTTGTTTGCTGTAAATCCTGTTGTCAAATGTACAGTTGCATTCACTGAAACCTGTTTCTTGGAGCTGAGCCCTGGGGGTGGACACCTGTGCATGGGTCTCCTGGTAATAGGATGGCCCCTGTCTCTGTGTTAGAGATATTTGTTTCAATAGTGGAAGAACGAGTTGGATTAGAGTAGGTCAAAATTAGGGAAAAATGTGAACATAATTTTAAGTTTCTTGCTGGTTCTTGCTTTCTTGAGGCCCCTTAAAAGGGCAGGAAGGGTGGGAAATGGGCAACAAGGGGCCAGGAGTTCCTAGTCTGTCTTTGGTGGTGTAGGAGTTTGACATTGCTGGACAACGATTGTCTTATCTGGAATCAGGCTCCTGGAATTCTCCCTCTGGGCTTAAAGAATTTCCAGAGACTGCTGCAGATGACCCATAGTTGCCCAAAGAGTTTGTGTGTAGGGGGTGAATTCTGGAGAGAATATGAGTGTGTCTTCTGGTGGGCTGCAGCCCCATGTATCAAATTAATCACTAAGTTCTGTATTCTACCCCTAGATCGCTGTCAGATTTGCCTCCCTCTCTTTCAGTCAACAGCCACTGACTTCAACTATTCCCTTAGCTCTAATCCTATCCCTCAACTACTCACTGTCTCTAATCTTGCCCCCTCCGGTCTTAGCTCCACCCTGCATCTGGAGTGACAACTCATCCAGTCGATCTGATCCCTTTCTCCTCCCTTCACGGAAACACTGCACCAGAGCCCATTGCCAAGGTGCAGACTCAACCTGCCATCAGGGACTTTTTAAGAGCTAGTGTCTCAGGGCTGGTGTTGTGGTGCAGTGGGCTAAGCCACTGTGAAGCTGGCATCCCATACGAGCTCCGGTTCAAGTCCTGACTGCTCCACTTCTGATCCAGCTCCCTACTAAAGCACCTAGGAAAGCAATGGAAGATGGCCCAAATGGTTGGGCCCCCCAACAGTCACATAAGAGACCTGGATGAAGTTACAAGCTCCTGGCTTTGCCCTGGGCTAACCTGGCCACTGGAGATGGACAGTCTCTCTGTTTTCCCCCTTCTCTCTGTAACTGCCTTTCAAATAAATAATAAACTTAAGAAGAAAGAGCTAGTGTCTCTACTGTCCATCATGATCTCCTGCATGTAGTAAATTCCAGAAATATTTATGGGTGCCTATTGCATACCAACCTCTGCTTTAGAACTGAAAACAGCAAGGAACAAAACAGGCAACATTCTCTACCTTTGTGGAGTTTGCATTCTACCAGGTTGGGTGGAGAGGACACATAAATCAATTGTGCGTTATCAGATTGTAGTAAGTACTATGGAGACAAAATGAGGAGAGAAGATAGAGATTGTGATTGGGGCTGAGGATTCCAATTATAGATAAAGGGTCAGGGAAAGTAAAATCTGAGCTAGGAGATGAAGGGAGGAAAAAAATTTAAAATCTGGGAGAGTGAGAAAATATTTAAGGAAAGACCATTCTGGGCAAAGGGAACGGCAAATGCAGAAATGCTGAGCCAGGAAGCAAGTGGAAGGCAGTGTGACCGGTCAGAGTTCAGTCAGGTGGCACAGGAGGAGTTGAGAGGACAGAGCGAGCAGGGCGACAGAGGTTCTACAGGAGTGCATGGTCCTTATCAGTGGGTGTCTGGCTTCAGCATGGCTGAAACAGGAAGCTGTGGAGGGTGTGAGTTCAAGAGTGACACATCCTAAAGGATCACTGTCAAGGATGTGAGGACAATAAACTGTATGAGGGTCAAGGGCAAACCCTGAGGGATTGCTAAGAAGCCAAGCATTAGACAAAGAGAGGTGGTGGATTCTAAGCTATCTGTTAAAACATGTATTCTAAAGGTCAAATTCGGTGATGGATCAGATGTAGTCATGTGATAAGAGAGGAGGTTCAAAGATACGGTCACCATTTTCTGAAATGAGAAGAAGTAAGTTTTGGGGTAGAAATTTACTTTTGGAGGTCCAAGATACCTACTAGACATCCAGGTGCTAATGTTAGGCAGCTTGTTGGATGTATAAATCTTTTTTTTAAAAAAATTATTTATTTGAAAGTCTGAGTTGAGGGGAGAGAGAGAGAGAGAGAGAGAGAAATCGATCTTCCATCCACTGGTTCACTCCCCAAATGGCCACAATGACCAGAGCTGGGCTGATCCGAAGCCAGGAGCCAGGAACTTCTTCCAGATCTCCCATGTGGATGCAGGGGGCCCAAGCACTTGGACCA